TTTGGTCTGACCCTGTGTGGCCGTTCTTATGTTCACTTACATCCTTGCAATCCCATTAAAGAATCTGTCCATACTGTGGATTAGTCAGACCAGGCATGTCCTATTCTTAGTAGGAAGACATGTAATCCATTGCCTTTCAGAGGATTCCACATTATCTGAGTTGCCTGATGAAAAATTATTAACAACGTAAGAATGAATTTGCATAATCATGTGCCGGTATATACTCCCCAGGGGGAATTAGACTATATTTGCAAAACATCTTGAAATAACATAGAATCTCAGGCAATTTCAGCAAGCAAATTGCTCCTTTTCTTATGAGTGTGAAATATGTTTAAGAGCTTCTTCTTCCGGGTGCTTTCCCTTCTATTGGTTTAATAAGTTATTTAGTTACTCACAGAGCCAAAAACTTTGAGGTGGTGATGCAAGTCATGCAATCACAACGGTGGTGGAAAATAGCTCTGGCAATAAGTCACAAAGAGCATGATTCAGCATTGCCCTGCATCTAATGCAGTCATTTATACTTGTGCAAAGTGGGTGTGAAACATTACCAAATCAGAATAGTAGTGATTTGCACGAGCATTGCACTGGTGCAAATGACTAAACAACCCGTAAGACAATGATCAATCAGACCAGTGGGCCTGCAGTGTCACTTATATTAAGGCTACTTTACACCACCGTGGCAATGTAATAGGGCCTTGAGATGGGTGTAAATGTGACACACTGCCATGCTGATGTAGTGTTGCCTTAGTGTAGAGAATCAGGGCAATAATATTTGCACTTATAAATTCTGTTCCACCTACTTGCATTTCATCCACCTACTTAAAATTAAATCGTCCTCTCCTGTCTTGAACGAAACCTCTGACCAAGAAGGGTGTAATGCATCCTCCAGCATCCCAAGGCATCTGCTCAGCCCTTCTCAGCTGATTAGGGAGACTAGGTTAGGCTTATCGCAAGTCATATTCTACGAACAGGAGGTGTGTGTGATGCCAGGGACAGCTAAGGGCAGTGCATACAATAAGATAACGTGGGAGCGTCTGGCTTAGAGCAGGGCAGGAGGACACCCTTCTGAGAACCGAAAACGGTCTTGTTTATCTACAAGATCCAGCAGGATTTTTTTCTTCGTAAGCTAAGTGCTCTCCGGCCATTCAGTAACACACTAAATTGGAGGTCCCCCCCCCCCACACACACACCCCTTTTCACCACCAAACTCCCCTCTCAGTTGCATTGTTACAACTTCATTGAAGCGGACAGTGCGGTGTAATTGAGAAAAGAATTTGGACCATTATGTTTAATTGGTGTGAGCCTACCTGTAAGGTAATCTAGCCTTCAGAAGCATTACATCATCTAATGGCAAGTTACAGGACACATCCTTTGTGTGTATATGTTTTATAGAAGATAATTATATTACATGGCAATGAGGGAAAGACAGCTACAGAAGCAGTGAGTATGGTGTTGAGGCATTTGCTTCAAAAGGAGGATTCGAATGAATGCACTGCATGCAATTTAGGCATGGTCCCGGAGTCTCCAGGAATGTAAGATTCATCTTTAATTAAAGATTACATCATGTGATGAAACCTCCAGGAGTATGTCCAACCAAAATTGGCAACCCTACATTTAGGCTATAACACCTTTGAAATCTTAGGTAATTATATAATGCAATGAAGCTGAGCTTTGTGTCTGATTCTGATCCACAAAGCCTCTTCTTGCCAGCCTTGTCCCAGTTCAGACCATTAAGGAGCAAGGGTTTTCACTCAAGGGCTCCTGTAAGTATATTTTGTTCCCTAACACAGCTGGAGCCTGATCCTGTGAGGTGCTGAGCTCCGGCAGCCCCCACTGAGTTACACCAGAGATGGATTTGGCCTCTTTTTACCAGGTCTGGGTGAAAGATGACTGGTGAAGTTTCCAAGTAATCATGTGAGCCTTTTCTTCACTGCACAAAGATTGCAAGTTCAGGTTGGTTTCTACACCTAAATCCTCCCTATGCTCCCTTTAAACTGGGCTCAGGTTTCACTGTGAGATACTTTTGACAAGGCTGTGTTAGGCTTTCAGTTTGTAATGGAACACGAAGCTAGCTGTGATTCACCCAGTTGGAAGCTGAGCTGGGAACATTTTACCTGCCTCGGCTAAGGACTAGTTATTATCTGCCCTATAGGCCTCCTCTTCTAATGGGGTCACTTGGGGCCCACAGCCTCAAAGACACGTAGGTGCCTAACTCCCATGGGATTTAGGTGCCTAACTCCCAAGGGATTCAGACACCTAAATACCTTTGAGGATCTGGGCCTAAGAGACTTCAATGGGAGCTGGACAGCTTTCCAAGAAGTGCTTCTCTCTTCATGTAAATTAAAAAAACATTGGAGGCAGCTGAACATTTCTAGGGTCATATGGAGCAGCGTTCATAAAGTACAACCCCATCGCCTCTGTATTCTCTGGTACTTCATCTATCAGGAAACAAGGAAAGATACCAGCCAGTTATTTATTCTCTTGGTGCAAAGAATCTCCCACTCCCAAGTAATACAAACTCATAAGACTTGGTGCTAGCAAGTGCAACTCCACTGAGATCAATGAACTTGCATTTGCTACCAGCCAAGTCTGACGTACACTGTAGACTCTCTTTCTCCTTCTCCCCCACGTCTCTAGGTTCTTGTTAAATCCTGCTCCTTCTTCTACATTACATCCCTTCTGTCTCTGCCATGACTACTATGGTTTCCTCTTCTCTGAGCCCCCTGCATCTCCCCTTCCCAAAATGCTCCATCTGTGTTCATGGCCCTTCCTACCTCAGCTCTCCTCTTTGACTCCCTTCTCTGGCTTCCTCTTTTTTCAACACTGAACTTAATACCCCCATCTTCACCATCAAGGTCCTGCACAACCAGTGTACTGCTCCATTGCTGGTCTGTTCTCTGCAGTACTAGAGTAAGTGGCCTCCTGTAGTAGGAATTGGGCACAGGAACTGGATTGCTTAACCCTACATTGCCCCCATATGAATTGAAGGGGACACACAGGGCAGTGATACACCCAACTCTTTTTGAAAGTCTTTGGGGCATTACCTTTGATTCAAAGCAAAGTTCCTCTCATGCAGCATCTGACATAGCTGGCAAGGTAAATAACAAACAGGCAATTACAGAAGAAGAAAGACTCTAGGCCAGATCTTGCGAGCCTTACTTATGCAATCACTCCTTGCTCAAGCTACCAGTTCCCCTTGATTTTCATGAGTCTGCTCCCAGGAGCAAGGCATATTCATTTGGATAAATCTTGCAAGATCAGGCCTTAGGCCAGGGCCACCTGAGATAAATTTATCTGTGATGGCTGATTAACTGGAGAGGAAAAATCAGCAGAGGAGAAAAGTTCACTTGTGCAGTCTGTGCCCTATTTCGGTTTCATAATGTTGGCAAATGCCATAAAAACGAACAAAGGCATCTTCTGTTTCTTCAGCCCAGCTTAATCCAGTAACTCAAATAGCAGCGTAAGACACCTTTGTGTTTGTAACCCTTTTCTAAAGTGCTTCCTGCATTCCACAACTTAGATTCATAACAGAAAAACAGCAATGCAAAACATTCGTTCTCCGCAAAGACATAATTGCTGCAGAGAAAAATAGAGTTTTGTCAATCATGTGATTCCCACGTCATGATCCAGATTCTGAACTCAGTTACTATAAATCTGGAGTAACTTTGTTGGCTTGATTGACCGCTGCATTACTCCAGATTTATACCACAATGATAGATTTACAGCCCATGCATGTATAAAAAGTTTATCACCTAGGTAACCATTTTTCAAAGTGGTAGCCGTGTTAGTCTGTATCAGCAAAAATAACGAGGAGTCCTTGTGGCACCTTAGAGACTAACAAATTTATTTGGGCATAAGTTCTCGTGCCAGCAATGCCCCTCTGCCATGTACACTGGCCAAACCGGAAAGTCTCTAGGCAAAAGAATAAATGGACACAAATCTGACATCAAGAATTATAACGTTCAAAAACCAGTAGGAGAACACTTCAATCTCTCTGGTCACTCAGTAACAGACCTAAAAGTGGCAATTCTTCAACAAAAAAACTTCAAAAACTGACTCCAACATGAAGCTGCAGAACTGGAATTAATTTGCAAACTGGATACCATCAGATTATGCCTGAATAGAGACTGGGAGCGGTTGGGTCAGTACAAAACCTAAACTTAATTTCCCCAATACTAATTTCTCCCTACTGTTACTCACACCTTCTTGTCAACTGTCTGTAATGGGCCACTCTCTTACCACTTCAAAAGTTATTTTTCCTCCCTTGGTATCCTGCTATTAATTGATTTATCTCGCTAGACTGACCTCACACTTGGTAAAGCAACCCCCCATCGTTTCATGTATTTATACCTGCTCCTGTATTTTCACTCCATGCATCTGATGAAGTGGGTTCTAACCCACGAAAGCTTATGCCCAAATAAATGTGTTCGTCTCTAAGGTGCCACAAGGACTCCTCGTTATTATCACCTAGGTAGTAGGGGTATTACAGTGTAATAGATGTACACCAGCGTGCCATGCCTTTGAAATCAGTGGAGTTACACCAGCATAAAACTGAAGTAACTCAGAGGGAATCAAGCCTTCCTGACTTCTGTAGAGATACTCCACATTTATACTAATGTAACTAAAATCAGAATATGGCCCCACCATGAGTAGAAACCAAAGAGAGAATCTACAGAGTGCAGCTCCATTAAAGCTATGCAGCTAGATTCTGTACCCATTTATACTCATGTAAGCCCCAATGACTTCACATATGTAAGTGAGGCTAAAAATTGACTAATGGGCATTGTTCCTGAAGTCCCACTGCACATCATCTGAATTAATTTTTCATCATTTAGCAAGGTGGATTAATATAACACAGAGAGGTTATATAGAACTGGGTAATTATGGTCACTTTTCTATTTCTCCCTTAACCAAATCTCTTCATCACCTTGCCTTTCTGGTTTGAAGCCCTCAGGAAACGTTGGGGAAGATGCAGCTGTCTGAAGTGGTGCCAGTGATTCCAAGGCATATTGCCAGGACAGGGAATGCATCTAGAAGGAGTGACTTCTCTGGAATGAATTTCCATTGTTTTGGTTTCTTTCTGCTGTGGTCCTCAATTCAGTTCTGTTTACAAGTGTCAGCAGACTTAAATCCATAGAAATCAATGGGCTGGAATGGAGGAGGAAAAAGAATGATCTTGTGTTTTAGGCACCATATTAATATTCAGAAAATCTGGGTTCAAATCTGGGACTGCCACAGACTTGCTGTGTGCCCTTGGGCAGGTCACTTCATTTCTGTGTGCCTCAGTTCCCCACCTGTAAAAATGGGGGTAATAAACCAGACCTTCTTCACGAGGGGTACAGTCATTAGTGAGTAGCAGGTGCTTGTATTATCTTTACAGTAATCAGGACCATGCAAGTATCTTAATTCATAGAACACCTACAACCCAACAGGTTTGGAAGAGTCATAATGGCCCCTTCTGGCTTTACAATCTACATGAAGCAAAGAATGCCAGGCTGCAGGGACAAGTTAGTCTGTGGAGGTGCCCATCTGGTTTTGGAACCAGAGCACAAGGGAGATGAAGAAAAATGTATAAAAATGCAGGAAGAGAGGATAAAACCAATGCCCCGCCTCCATCGCTGTGCACTGTCCTCCCTGTGCTGCCTCCTCCCCCTCTAACTCCAGTCTGACTCAAGTGACTGGTCCATGGTGATTTCAGACTGATGAGAAAGGGCACCCGCACACACAGCTCTGTGTTTCCAGTCCTCAGCTTGTATCTCCCTGCTGCTGTTCAGGCAGCAACCAGATATTCAGGTAGGTGCTGGCAGGACAGTGGATGAGCCACAGATATGTTACAGAGAGATAGGAGCCCACCCATTCTGAATACACCTTGTCTCTCCCATCAGCCTCCTCAAGGGACAATATTAACAAGGTTGTTTTGTAGATGCAGCTTCTGCTTTAAAATAGAAAGTGGGGGGCTGTTCTGTTCAACGTGGGCTGCGCTGAACAGGGGCCCGGGATCCAGAAGCATGGCATAGATTAAGTGAATGCCTAAGACCTGATTCTCCTCACCTTTATTGTGGTAGAAATCAGCAGTAACTACATTGGAAAACCAGACCCCCAAGACCCAGATCCTCAAAGGTATTTAAGTGCCTGACTCCCACTGAAGGCAATGGAGTGCCGAACTCAGTCCAAGTCTTTCTTCTTCTCTTTCCTTACTTTTCTTCTTTCATATGGAACTAGCAACATTTACAAGTTAATAGAAAGATCTGAAACCCATTCGAGAGCTTCAGGAGATGCAGAGTGCACCTTTGCTAGACCTCCTGGTGATGGAAAGATGGGACACTTGTGTTCAGTGGCTTGGAGGGCTCCCCATTCACACTGTGGCGAATCCTTGGTTCTCCATTCATGCATCAGGTGCATGCATCTTCCATGTAGCATCCTAATACAGTTGATGGTCATCCACTGTCTTCAGGGAAGCAAGAAACCAGGGGGTTCAACGTGAGATCATTTACGAGGTGCTTGCTGTTTACATCAGACGCAGCCCATTGCATTCACCAGGTGTCTTCTGGGTTGAAGCTGGATGAAAAAAGAGCTTCTCTGGCCACCCAGAATGGTCAGTGGGGCTTAAGATGAATGCAAGGCAAGTGAACAAGGTTGTCATGGAGCGAAAGCTTCTGGTTAGCAAGAGTTTTCTTGTACTCGCGCAACGTAGCCATCTCCTGATGCTGGCGGGGTGCTATGAGGTCCACTCCTTTTCTGCAATAGGGGCTGATTCAAAGCCTGTTGAAGTCACTGACAGCAAGCCCTATTATTATTGTTATTTATTTGTACTACTTTAGCACCTAGGAAGGAGCCTTAGTCATGGGCCAAGATGCTATCGTGCTAGCCCCAAGGTAGGGGAGTGCATTTGGGGCAGTCACAGTTATTGTAATATCACGAGCAGCCTCCATGTGTGCAGGTCCTTTACTCCTTGTCTTTTCTACAAAGGGTCTGATCCTGCAGTCCTCATTCAGGCAGTAAGGACAAGAAGTTTGGACCCTTAGGGCCAAATTCCACTCTTGGTTACACCGGTGCAAATTTAGAGTAACTCCATTTCCTTTTGTTAGATAGGCAGAACTGAGAACAGAATTTGGTACCCACGGTCAGATCCTCAGTTGGTGTTTATAGGCATTACTGCTTTGACTTCAATAGAGTGATGTTAATTTACACCAGCTGAGGATCTGACCTGGGAGCTCAGCTGATCCCATTTCTGCCAGAGGTGGTTTAACTAGGGTGACCAGATGTCCCGATTTTATAGGGACAGTCCCGATTTTGGGGTCTTTTTCTTATAATGCCTCCTATTACCACCCACCCCCTGTCCCGATTTTTCACATTTCCTGTCTGGTCACTCTAGGTTTTACCACCACAAACAGCATTTCGCAGCTTGAAAATGGAAATAGGATTTTTCTCAGCACTTCTCCAAAATTATCCTCTCCAGAAATGATAACCTGGACAAATTCTTTTTTCTCTTCAAGCTAGATCATACCATAGGCTGTAAATATCACCTACATCACCTCTCTGCTTATCCATTTTCCTCTTTTCTAACCTCTTTCTGGGCCTGCTACTCTGGTGCTCTGCATCTTGTGCAGTATTTTACCCCAGTGCAAAAGGAGGACCACATGCTCGTATAGCAAAATGGCTGGGCTTTACACCCAGTTTGCATTGACATAAATGACTGCACAAAGTGTAGGCAATGGAGAATCGGGCCTTTATATTCTACTTCAACTCAGCCTCTGCTCCTCTCCGTTCTCTTTCATGTTTTTCTACTATTGCTCTTCCTTAACCTTCAGGTGTCCACTTTAGTAACCCACCCCATAGAAGTAATGAGCAGAGTCAATAATGTGACAAATAATCATCTGGCCGGTTGCATCAATGTCTGTTTATCTTTCTCTTACGTACATGGCATATTATTCCTGTTTGCTATGATGAGAGGCTGGGAACAATGCCTTACAACTTTGTCTTATGCAGTGTACTTTGTAGCCATGTCGGTCCCAGGATATTAGACCTGAGATGGGTAAGGTCTTAAACAGGGGTCAGAAAGGAAAAATAAGTGATGGTGTTTCTCCCAAGCTCCGCCCATAACCCAAATTCCTCCAAGTCATGCTGCCAAAATGAGACGCTACTCAGCAGATGGTGCAGATCTTCAGAATAGGATGGCCATTCTCCTTTTTTGGATGCTATGATCAGGAATTTAAAATTTGCATTTAAATTGTCGTCATTAAGATTCAGACTTAAAAAGCCTTGGAATAAATGTGACATAAAAATATAATGGATTTGTAACTGTAAACTTTAGCAGAAGGGTAGTCTTGTGGTTCATGCACTAGACTGGGACTTAGGAGATCTGACAGCTCTGCCACAGGCTCCCTGTGTGACCTCAGGCAAGTCACTTCATCTTGTGATCCAGTTCCCCATCTATGAAAGGGTGACAATAATACTCCTCTTCTCCCACCTTTCATCTGTTTTGTCTTTTTAGATTGCAAGCTCTTCAGGGCAGGGACCATATCTGAGTATGTGTTTGTGCAGCACCTAGCACAATGGGGCCCTAATCTCTGACCCCCTTGGTGCGACTGCCATATAAATAATAATTGAAAATATGCCAACAAATAAAGACTATATGCTCCTTAACACCAGAGACTGTATCTCCTGCTGTGCCTGGAAAGCATTTCGCACATTTGGAGAACCCCCATAATAATAATTTATCTGTGCCTCTTACCCACTAGTGCTTCAGGCTGTCTGCAGACTCAGGCAGATATGGCTGCACCAGTTACACTCAGGCCAGGTTTTAAAAGTTTTCTCCACAACTGTAAGGGCAGGGGACCTTATTTTATTAAACGAAAGTTTAGATTCCAGAGCAGCTACTACAGCTGCTTACCAAGCTGCAACAAACAGGCCCAATTCGAACCCTGGCCAAGATTTGCTGACAAAGTAAAAGCTTCACTTTGGTTTTCCAACAAACAGGCCCAAAGGAGGGTTTTTATCTTTGGCTGGTTTGATGGTGACTCTGTTTTTTCCCCACACAGCCTTAGCTGTTGTTAACACACACTCTCGCTACTCCTCTAGTCTCTGTATGGAAAGTGAGCGTCAAGGGAATGAGCTCCTGTAAGCTTTTCCCCAGAGAGTTAGCGGTTCTGGTAACTGCCTTCCTGTCAGGTTCAGTTAGGAGTCAGCAGCAAAGCAGACACGAGTGGAGGGCTGCTCGATGTGTGGCCTCTGGGATTGTTGGTGACCCTCAAATTGCTTCCTTCATGTGGCATCTGCCAGCCACACATACTTCAGCCCCCAGTCCCATCCCCACTGCCAGTCACACATTGTAGCCGCCAGTCACACCCCCACTGCAGCCAGCTGCCAGTTTCACACAAACCTATGCACCTCTGCCTCATCTCTGTTCAGTCTGCAAAAGGCAAATAACCTTTCCCCCTTTTGCCATATACACTACAGAGATGGGCCTGAACCAGGAATCCAGGCCAGCACTTCCTCTTCCTTCCTATAGAATTTAATAGGGATGGAACCAACGTGTTTCTACAGTAATTACTCTGAAAAACCTATAGAATTTAAATAGAGGATGAGATTCTTTGAATAGGTTGTTGTAATCATTCTATAGAACTTTAGAGCAGGAATATTCTATAGGATGGCTGAGAAAACCTACAGAAAGGAGCTCATTCTCAATTCAGTTCCACGGGACTTTTCTGCAGAGAGATAAACTTTCCCAAAGTTCAGATGGTTCCTGAACTTCACATTTCAGACCCATCCTATAACAGGCCCAGGCTGGAATTATGAATCCTAGGAATACCTATTTTCAGCCAATTTGCATGTGCATCTGGGTCCCAATTTTGTGGACTGTGCCCCTGCTCTGAGATATACAGAAGCCTTGTCTCTGTGCAGTTTGTCAAAGGCAACTGGATTTGCTGTGTGAAAAAAAAAAAAAGAAGAAGGGGAGAACAACAAACAAAAGGGACCAGAGCTCACCTTAGTAAAAGAGTCTTGGCAGAAGAGATCACTGAATGCTGGTCTACACTCAGTATTAGCTGGCATAGCTAGCTACGCTGGTGGAAACCTCTTGTGTAGGCATGATTTCCACCAGTGCAGCGGTACGTGCAACAAGGTTCACATCACACATCACACTGCAGTGACACAAACTGATGCAGCTACACTAGTGGCTAAAATTCCTGTCTGGACACGAGCTAAGTGCAATATTGTCGGAGGGGAAATAAGGTTTATGTTAGTTATAGTGGCACAGCTAACCGCTGTATCTATAGCCATCTATATCTAAAATAGCTGTTCGACATCATTATCAGATGACTGAATGGAAGCATGGTCCTTATGCTTTCAAGAGGATCACATGCTGATCATGCCTTTTAAGACTGTGAGATGCAGCCCACCTAAAAGTTTGCTCACATCTGTTGAACCAGTGAGCCATCACAGCAGAAAGCAACTGTTGCTGCGCTCAAGGTTTCATAGAGTCATAAAATATCAGGGTTGGAAGGGACCTCAGGAGGTCATCTAGTCCAACCCCTTGCTCAAAGCAGGACCAATCCCCAATTTTTGCCCCAGATCCCTAAATGGCCCCCTCAAGGATTGAACTCACAACCCTGGGTTTAGCAGGCCAATGCTCAAACAACTGAGCTATCCCTCGTGTCTCTCACGTCCTGGAAAAGCAAGGACAACTGTACTAGCTCCAGTCTCCTATGAAGTTCTTTCAGTGTCCTGCCAGTATTTCTGATCCAAAAGTACCCACTTGCTTACTGAGCTGCTAAGATCTCTGCTCACCGTATTCGCCTTGGATGAATTCCACCCCTGTTAGCCCGTGATTCTTTATCTGTGCCAACAGGAGGCTCTGAGGGCTGGTTCCAGGCCCACCCTTCTGCTGAAGATAAGAAAACAACTGGCCTCCTTCATAACAGTCCTAACAGAGAGACAAGAAATGAAGAGGCTACGGAGATGAGCTCATCTCTCAGCCCTTGAGGTGACTATTAACAATGGGACTCTTTCCATTGACTTCACTGGGCTTTGGATCCAGCACAACCGTAAGGCCTGAGGTGCACCGGCAGAGACAGTACAGGGTGGGAGGAAAGTTGGTTCTGGCACTGCCTGTCCTGCACCCGTGCTGGATACTAAACCAAAAGAGTCTGCAGTCTGGTTGTCCCTATGCAGTAATTCTTTCTGTCCTAGAAATCCCCATAGCTGTGGGTTAACGCAGACTGAGAGGCTGCAGTTCCATGCAAAGGTCCAATAGCTTTAGGAGAAAATGGCTTCCACTGAAAAAGAAACTTCCATAAACCCCTCAATGCCAACTAGCCAGGGGTGACAAGAATACCCTGATCCTGGTATGTCCAATCTGGTTCACCAAAGAATATCGTGTGAAGTCTTAAATGAAAACGAGGGTCACATGTATATCATGGTGCACTGTATGTACAGATACTATATAAGGAGTTATGTATGCATACTGCAAATATGTTCCTAAAGTCAGAACTGAGAATCACGTTTTCTGCCAGACAAAAGGTATTCGTCTCTCTCTCCATCGGCATGTAAATTAAGGTGAGTGACGCACCCATAAAGACACACTCACTCAGGTAGGGCTCTGCAGTGTGGCTACTCATGCCCCAGCTAGGCCAACCTGAGCACTCAGACCCAGTGCTGATTACCCAAGTTAACTCTGCAGTGAAGACAAAGCTCCAAAGGTAAAGTGGTTCTAACAGCGGCCTCTGGTTGCAGCCTTGGGAACAGCACACTTGGCATTTCTGAAGGATACTACATTAGAAAGTAATTACTAAACACAAGTTACTTAACCAACGAAGAGGCATCCTTAGCCACTAGCATGAAACGAAAGGAGTTTCTGTGGCTACCATTTGGTGGATGTCTGTGTAAGATGGGGAGACAGGTGAAGGTGCTGCTGAGAAAAGGTGTGTGAATTAGCTAGTGGAGATAAGGCACTTTAGTTTTACTGCAAGGTAAACTAAAGGAGCACTTGTGGCACCTTAGAGACTAACCAATTTATTTGAGCATAAGCTTTCTAGGCGAGGTCACCCCAGGCAGGAGGTATGGTGCCGGCCTTGTCTAGTTTCCCTCATGATAAATCTAACATGACTTCTCACCAGTGTGTTGTTCCTGCAGGATAGCTAATGTGTGTTAGTTACATCGTAGAAAAACACCCCTTTTCTTAGCAGAGAAGACACAGCCAAAGTGTGTAGAAGAGAGAGACAGAGAGTGTGTGAGTTAGTGTAAGACAGAGAGAGAGAGAGACTGTGTGTGTGTATATGTGAGAGAGTAACAGCGAAAGTTAAAAAGAGAGGAAGCATGTAAGAAAACCTGCAGCCTTCAGTACTTTACCTCACTTCATTGAATCCCTCCATTATCTTTGCAACTCTATCGTGACTTAGAACAATTCCACTTTAACAATGTGCCCAAATCAGAGCCCCATCTGGTTTTCATAAGGGGCCCAGACACACCATCCCATTCCTGCGTGTTTCATACCAGGCTTGATCCTTCTACACTGAGCTTCTCAGATGTTTAACGTGGCCAAGATTTTCCAAAGGGACGAGTGGTTTTGGGCGCCCAACTCGAGGCACCTTGATGGGGCCTGATTTTCCAAAGCATGTGGGTACTCAGCATGGTCTGAAACTGGGCACCTCAAAATGTGGGTATCCAAAATGTTTAGTCACTTTTGAAAATCTTGCCCTGTGGTGATAACTGCTAAATAAGTAGGTGATGATAGATTAGATTGGAAACACCTGATGAATCTAAGAAACTGCCGATTGTACTGAGCTATCACAGTTTCATTTCACTTCACATTGACACTGTTCTATCATCCCTATTGAACACTGTTCTGAGAACCCAACTATTGCCCTGATTCTGCGATCTGATCTGATGACTACAATGGAGTTCTGTGCAGGCAGAGGGGACACTGGCAGAATAAGGACCTACGGAGGAGTACCTGTTGACAGGTCACTTACGTCAGCTGTTCGTGGCAACAGCTCCAAAATCTGATTTCCTGTGGCCCCTTTCAATTCCAGGCAATAGAATGAGCCTAGTAATGGGCACAGTAATGACCTGCAATAGAAGAAGAAATGAAGGGAATTAGGTTAGTGCCAAACATATGTATACGCTGTAGTAAAACAAGGCTGGGCAGTGTGAGAAAGGATAAAAAGCTTTCAGAAGAAGCGCTTGTTAGGGCTGGCTGGCAAGACAAGCTAGTTCTGTGGTGAGCGTCAAGTCTACTCATGTGAATAATAGTTGCTTTAATACAGGTTTCAGAGTAGAATAAAGATTGGTATTATTGCTAAATGCACAATTATTGCACAATAATAACAGGCCTTGTGTCCCCACTACCTTTTGCCGTCATTTACTCATGTTCAAACTGGGTACAAAATGCTAGTGCTGGAATAATCGATTACACAAGGTGCAGAGCAATAGAGAGGCAAATCGAGTGAGTGTAAAATGTTACCACTATGATATGCAAGTGGAGAATCTGGCCCTCTCACTTTTTCAACAGAAATCACTTTGGCAATGGAATATCCCAAGAGAGAGCCAGATCCTGGTGTGAATTGGCATGATCTCTATTGACTTCAGTGGAGTTATGCTGATTTACAACAGGTGACTAGCTGGACCTGGGTTTTACTTCTGGCTCTGCCACTGACCTTGAACATGTCACCGCCAAGCTCTGTGCCTCAGTTTTCCCATCTGTACAATGGAGATAAGGACACATATCCACCTTTGTAATGTACTTTGAGATCAATGGATGAAAAGCTGCTTTTGAAAGGATAAGTAGCTGTAGTGATGCAGTCCTCCAAGAAAAACTTAATCCTCGGTGAAGTTACCATATTACCCACTATATAACTTGCTCCCTTTCTGTGTGAAATTTGTTTTGGAAGCACTTCCAGTTTGAACCACTGGAGATTTATATAACATTCTCCAAAGGGTGATGTCAGGACAGGTCTGATGTATGCACATTAGTTTACATGCCCACAGTTCATTCCACCCCAGGCCACTGTGATATAAGCATGTTGTTCATTCATGAAGATAAATTCCTTCCTGACCCACAAAGACAAGATGGGTGAGGTAATATATTTTATTAGACCAACTTCTGTTGATAAGAGAGACAAGCTTTTGAGCTTACAGGGAGCTCTTCTTCAGGTCTGGGAAACTAACTCAGAGTGTCACTGCTAAATACAAGGTGATTGTTTAGCGTAAGGAGTTAATACATATTTCAAGGGACCATTCAAGATACACAGCCCCAATACAATATATTTCTTGTGAGCTGTACACAGAGAGGAAGTTTGTTAGGAGGCTCAGTTTGGGCACCATCAGAGCTAACTACTACACCAAAATGATTCTGTGGACTAGTACATGCAGGTCCATGACCTTCCCAAATCAGATAATGAGAATAGAAACATAGTGTCCATATTACAATGACTGAGCAAGCTTTATTAGGCATTTTAATGCCCAGGCAAGTCAGTTAATTCATAATTGGTTTGAACTGGCAGCCTCACAAGCTCTAGCATTCTCTGCCTGCAGCTGAGTGCCATACAAAATTCTTGCCTGACTTTAAAAACTTTAAAAGGAATCAAAGGAATAGTTTCCAGTCTGATCTTAGCTCCTAACAGCCCCCACTGATCATTCTAATTTAGGAACAAAGGTACAAGGGAGCTGGCTTTTAGAGGGTAAGATTTGTCCCATGGAAATGAGTAATTATTACAGGTGAGGAGAAGCAAAAGCAAATTCCACTGTCATTTGTGCACCGACGCAACATGATGTATAGGCATTTCCATGGCATTCCACGCTAGAGATTATACAACTGATCTCAGCACACCCCTGGGAGCCATTCCCATCCTCACGCTGCAGATGGGGAACCGAGGTGCAGAGAGTCAAATAGGGGACTTGGTGACAAACTCTGTGCATCTGATTCTGCACTCACTCTACACCTTGAAAAAGCTTAGGCCCCAATTAAGCAAAGAACTTAAGTGGGTACTTATCTGTAGGCCCATGATTAAGTCCATCCCTATTCAGCAAAACACCTGACCAAGCACATGCTTAAAGCTAAGTAAGCGCTTTGCTGGAGCTACCTGGTATAAAACCAGTGTAAGGGAGAGGAGACTCAGCCCCTGTATTCTCCCTTTGAGTCAAGTTCTCAGCAAGGTTCAAAATTAATCATGATAAAGTATAATAATTAATAACAAGTGTCTGTATATAAAGAGCCTGAAAACTCCTGGATGTTTATAGCTACAAAACTAAACAGGTATAATTTAAACAAAAGCAAAGGCTGCGTGGTCTCATCAATGAAAACCAGAGCTGTAGCCCGATCCAAAAGCCCTTTGAAGTTGGCAGAAAGACTCCTTTTGATTTAAATGGGTTTTGGATTGAGCCCATAGTCCAGGAATCACAGTAGCAGCCGTGTTAGTCTGTATTCGCAAAAAGAAAAGGAGTACTTGTGGCACCTTAGAGACTAACAAATTTATTTGAGCATATGCTTTTGTGAGCTACAGCTCACTTCACCGGATGCATTCAGTGGAAAATACAGTGAGGAGATTTATATACACACAGAACATGAAAAAATAGGTGTTATCATAAGGAGATGTGTAAGGAGAGTGATCACTTAAGATGAGCTATTACTAGCAGGAAAGCGGGGGGGGCAGGGGGGTGGGAGGGTGAAGAAAACCTTTTGTAGTGATAATCAAGGTGGGCATTTCCAGCATTTCCAAGGAACCTATCCTTGCAACAAAGCCTGTTGCCAACTGTGTCCACATATCTATTCAGGGGACACCACCCTAGGGCCTAATCACATCAGCCACACTATCAGAGGCTCATTCACCTGCACATCTACCAATGTGATATATGCCATCATGTGCCAGCAATGCCCCTCTGCCACGTACATTGGTCAAACTGGACAGTCTCTACGTAAAAGAATAAATGGACACAAATCAGATGTCAAGAATTATAACATTCATAAACCAGTCGGAGAACACTTCAATCTCTCTGGTCACTCGATCTCTGACCTAAAAGTCACAATATTACTACAAAAAGACTTCAAAAACAGACTCCAACGAGAGACTGCTGAATTGGAATTAATTTGCAAACTGGACACAATTAACTCAGGCTTGAATAGAGACTGGGAGTGGATGAGTCATTACACAAAGTAAAACTATTTCCCCATGTTTATTCCCCCCCCGTCCCATCCCCCCACCCCCCCCCCGCACTGTTCCTCAGAGGTTCTTGTTAACTGCTGGAAATGGCCCACCTTGCTTATCACTACAAAAGGTTTTCTTCGCCCCCTCTCCCCCCAGCTCTCCTGCTGGTAATAGCTCATCTTAAGCGATCACTCTCCTTACAGTGTGTATGATAACACCTATTTTTTCATGTTCTGTGTGTATATAAATCTCCTCACTGTATTTTCCACTGAATGCATCCGATGAAGTGAGCTGTAGCTCACAAAAGGTTATGCTCAGATAAATTGGTTAGTCTCTAAGGTGCCACAAGTACTCCTTTTCTTTTAGTCCAGGAATGAAAACACCCACATCTTTTCCCCAAACCCACAATACAGTAAAAGACACAAATCCTGAAACAACAGTGAATTGAAAAGGAAACAAATCACAGTAACGAAATGAAGTTGTACTTTGTACGGAGGGAGAGTCAGTATGGACGGAAAGGCTAAGGAAGGAATGAGTAGGTATATGATAAGATCAATGCAGAAAGTTTGGTATTAGACCCAGTTAATCAAGAGCTCTGGGGTGGATTTGTGTTTTACTTTCAGGTTTTTTTGGTTCACGTATCGCCTATTGTCATAAAGAGTTGACAACAAATGAACTTCCTTATAATAAACAAAATGGAACCAAAATAAAATTAAATTGTTTAAAGAGTAAAAGTCAGGGGAAAAAACAAATCTGTAACTGAAAGAAAATAATTGTCAAATATTTAGATGAAAAGCCTTAATGTATGCCTGGTCTCATTTTAAATAGCATAGCAGATGAGGACCAATGAGCGATCATTATTATTAATAATTATCTGTCTTATGTTAACAGGTAGCACTTTCTTTCAAATGCTTGGATGGCTCAGGAAAACGAAAATGGATTTTTACCAAATTTTCCTCCCACAAAATATACATTTTCAGGTTGAAAAAAGGAATGCTAATTTGTAGGATTAATTATTATATACTAATTAGTATTGTTATCATTATTCCTAATAATAATATGTCTTTACTGATTTAAAAACAAAGATACAAACTTAAGCATTAAATAGCAACTACATGACAAGAAAATCCTCTCACCACTCTACACCTCCTTACCAATCCCATCTTCCTTTCCCTATCACATCTGAATCATGAGAAATTCAACACAGATCTATGTACCTATCTCAAGGAAAAACCAATGGTTCTTCTCATAGCTCTGGACAGGATATATTTCCCAGCAGTGATTAATGCAGCCACTTTAAAGCTTCTCTGCCACTTAGTGGTTACAAAAAGCATTACTTTCTTTCTCGGCACTGTGCTGAGATCGGCTCTGTTTGCATACAGAGTTTGTACAGGGATGATGGTAATCTCAGTTCTAGTCAGGAGCAGAGCTGTGTCACTCTTTCCAAGAAATATTTAATGTAAGAATTCCCCCCGCATAATTCTGACAAAATGCTGATGCCCCGATGGCTCTTTGAAGGGAATAAATCCCCATCTGTCGAAATATTTACCCCCGGGTTAAACTAAAAATGTCTAAATCCAGTTGACAACATTCCATTTCACAGTGCAGATACTTGGGACAGATGTTCACATTTGAATGGAAAAGAGAAGCTTAGCCTGTGGCTTCTATTCCTGGATGAAACTGACTCTGTGTGAGCCGTGGCAAGTCACTCCAGCTCTCGGAGCCTTAGTTTTCCCCTTGCAAGTGGGGATAACAACACCTGCCTATGTCACAAGTTGGTCATGTAGGCCAAAATTCTCAACATTGAGCACCTACATCCATGTTAAGGCGATGGACAGGGACCCAGGCCACCTGGGTTCTATTCCTGGTTCTGCCGCTGATCTTCTGTGTGATGTTGGACAAGTCACTTCACTCCTCTGTGTCCTCTCTCAACCTTTGTCTGTCTTGCCTATTTCGTTTGCAAATTCTTCGGAGCAGGCACCGTCTTTTACTATGTGTCTGTGCGGCAGCTAGCACAATGACTCCCCGAGCTTGGGTAGGACCCTCTAGGCACTGCAAATAATAATAAATAAGAATAATAATTAATCCAAGTGGTCTCATTTTATTTACAGACAAGCTGGGCATCTGCAGCGCTCATTCCAGTCACCCAGGTCCAAATTCTGTTTCCACTTACACTGATGTAAATTCCCAATGGCATCAGGAAGTTAAACCCAATTTACATGAGAGAAAGAGCAGGGTTTGGCCTTTACTGTGTAACACGAGATGGGCCACAACTGAAAGATTTTGTTCACAATCCCCTGAACTGTGGTCTGGAGAAAAAAATGAATCCTAGAGCCAAACTAGGTCAGGTTTTGATTTTGTGAAACTGAAAGCTGATGGCTGACGGCTTGCAAAACTAATTGCATAAAAACTTATTGAGAAGAAAGAAAACCGGGACCCGTCACCCGAAGTCCTCCCCTACTCTGGCAGTCGTGATAAATTGGAACCTAGACCCTTTTTGGTTTCGAGCATGGGGTTTGCAAAATTAAAACATGATTGATGAGGTTTCGCACAACCAAAATTCAGACTCCTGGGCCCATCCCTGAATTTAGTCTGTTTATTTCGAACTGCACAGTAACAAACAGAGAAGGGTTGAGGGCAGAATTAGACTACTGAAATGGTTTAAAGGGGCAAGTGAACTTGGACATTTCCTCTCTACCTTTGTTCCAGCAAATATCATCAGAAAGTCACTAGTGTCTGTTTTGTAGCTCTTGTGTTAGCAGATTAATTCATCATGGCATAACACTAGGGGCTGGAATGAAACACAAGTTCTTAGCAGACAGACAAGGCCCCTGGGAGAGCTGGGAATAGGACCACCTATACTACCAGAGATCACTAACAGTAACACTTTAGCTAGGTAAACATTCCTGCTGAATCATGTGTCTTTCCTACCAGCATGGATCAGAGAAGAGAAAACCGTATGAGGCTGTTACCTAGTTAGCCCCAGATCTTGTTTTCCTATCTGCACAGCAAGGGTTAGGAATAGAATTCACCTTTCTTAGTGTAAATCAAGATTTGGTTAGGGAGGATGGGGCTAGAGAACTTGTCACTGAGGCGAGAGTTGGGAGAGGACAAGAAGATAGCCCCTTCCCCAAGTTTATCTGCCACGGTTGGGAATTAGACTAGGCCAGAAGACAATGGAGGACATGTGTGCGCTCATGGAGAGGAGGTTGCTGGTGTAACATCCTGGCAAAGTTTGTGTCACCCTCCCTTCTAGTGGCTCTTCCACTAGGGGATAATAGTTTACTACTACTACTACCACCATCAAGTGGTACTCCTTTAGCTCAGATGGTCATGTTCAGTGCTGTAGTGCAGAAGCTCCTCAGTGCAAACCCTGCTGCTCAACCATATGGAGGGTCACTGTGTGGCCCATGTGCAAATCCAGCCCTGACTGTGGTTTGACTCTTTCACATAAACAAGGCTGGTGGTAGAGGAGAAAATGGCAAAACAGCTAAGAAAAAGAAACACGGAGTGATGCTGAGGTTGTGACACAGCCATATATACGGTGGTTCCTTCTTTAATGTGTCCTAAACTCAGGGCCTCATGTTACCACCATTGCCGAATACATACAAGCTCTTAAGAATATTGTGGGTGCTGAATCTGCATTGAAAAGACATTTTCCAGGTGACCGATTGGAAGGAATTTCAGAATCTAATTTTAACAAAGCAGTTCATACGTGCTAAATCCTTGCTGTGAGGTATCACCTTACAAAACCATCTATCAGCTCAACGTTGCTTGGCACCCAGTGCTGAATACATACTTGCAACACATTAGTGGGCAACACTGCCTTATGTATGAAGGATGTAGAGCCCAGCAGCAGCACAGGAGCATGTGGCTCTGTCCCACTTCAAGTAGCAGATTTGAGGGAGATGAGCTTCAGCCTTTGGAAAGTTCTTTGCAACCACATGGCTTCATACAGGTTATCCCTTCTCTCATACAGAGCCTTGGCTAAAGAGCTACTGTTGCTCCATAGCAAATGGCCTAGCTACACCATGATTTTAAAGATGGCTATTTAGAAACAAGAGAAGGTGTTCAACCTCCAGGTCTTTGGTTCAATTCCGGACTCTGTCGGTAGCATTCTAAAATTGTTAGCATCTGATGGTTGTTCAGTGGTCTGTCTGAATTGGTGGGTCTCATTCTAGTACGCACTGGGTAGGTCTCTCTCTCTCTCTCTCTCTAAGTATATTTACATAGTCCTTCTTGTGGGCAGTCATACCAGAGATACCAAGGATAGCAGGCCATGAAGAGAGTCTTTTCTTTTTATCAATAAAAGATACGTAGTGTGAGCATTTTCTGCCCTGTTTTGAATGAGATACATTATGATCTTTACCGCCTGCTATAAACTGTATCTAAGTGGCATCTTTATAATTGTTCTTTATTGGTATTACAATAGCACCTAGAGATCTCAGCCCAGAGCAATTGTGTGCTGCACAGACACACAATCCCTGCCCTGAACGGCATAAATCTAAATACACAAGATGGACAAAGGGCTGGAGGGGAAACAGAGGCACAGATGGTAAAATCACTTCCCCAAGGTTACACGATGAGTTTTATGGCAGAGATGAAAATAAAACTGTCTTCTCCTAGTCCAGTGCCCTATCCACTAGATAACACTGTCTCTCTGGTTTTATATATCAATTTTTCGTACCCATCTTCACCAGCCAGCATTGCCTTTCAGTCTGCAGGTGACCCTGTTGGGGAAGACTGTGCACATTGGTAAGGCAGCATGAATTTGTGAATAGCAAACAACTGGGAAACAAACTGTAAGATGTGGGATACTGTGCCTTTAAAAAATAAATAATGGCCTTCAACGCCGAGCAAGGAGAAATGAGAACTCTTCATATTAATTGACCAAGTGCCGGAGGAGATTTGCCAAAGTGTCTCTGACGGGGCAAAAGTGCCAGGATGTCATGTTTAGAGACACCACAGAAAAAACAGAGGGAGGTTACTGTGTCAATCTCTTGCCCAGCAAAGATGGAAAAGCAGCTGAGTATACAACCCCGCTCCAGGCAGTCATGCAAATGGGTAAGAATGGAAACAGTGTTTGACTGAAAACATGATACGCGCACATGTCAAGGAAACTTTCACTGCCCCGAAACTGTCAGCACTGGCATGTTTTATGTTGATTGTAAATTTAAAACATATTTAGCAGATTAATAATGCCTTTCTGTAGTGCCTTCCACCTGAGGATCTCAAAGAACATTAATTAAACCTCACAAATTCCTTCAGACGTAAGCAAGGGATATTTAGGGATCCATCATTGAAATGTAGCCACCTCTGGAATAGAACATGATGGCTGTTTAACACAGTACAGTAGCACTCTACACAATATGTTAGTGCAAGAAGTGAAGAAGCCCTTATCGATCTGAAATTGTCGAGTGAATTTAGGTTGGCATTTGTCTCGGATTAAATTGCAAACTCTTCAGAGCAGAGACTGTCTTTTGTGTTCTGTTTGTATAGTGCCTAGCACAGTGGTGTCCTAAACTATGATTTGGGCCTCTAGGCATTCCTACAATAGCATAAATAAAATAATAATAATAATTAGTAGCAGGGTTAATATTCAAACACATACCGAAAGTGCACTGGGACCTTGAATGACAACAACCTGGCTGGATTTTGGTTTCGAATTTAAATGGGTTTCTACCAGCGTGCAGGAGGATGAAATTGGGCTGATGCCCCAGCCCATTATAGAACCATCTGGATAGATGTAGTGTAGATGCCAGTGCACTGTCTACACTAGAGCTTCTACTGCTGATACCACTGGAAGGTATAAAAAGAAATCTAGTGTAGATCCATCTTTTGTGAAAGATTCAATTCCACATGGCCTCCAATGAGGGCTGAAAAAGCTCCTACTGCAGTTCTCTGATCTTCCAATGAGTCCTTCAGCAGAAACAGGGAAGATGAGACTTGATATTCCTGCTATTTAAAGTAAAAAAAATGAACCAACTAAACCCATAAATCAACTTGTTTCAACTCGTTTAAATAAAGTTCAAGCTAAAATGGTTCCCAGTCCTGAGTGGCCAGTTTTGTAGACAGGACCAAATAATGGCCTCGATCCCTCAACGTTTATACAAGTGAATTTAATTAGCAGAGAACCGAAATATTTTTGCATGATATATAACCACTGAGTCAGATTACTCATGTACTTAAACTTAAGCCTGGGGGTGCCTGTCAGATTGGGACCCAGATGAGAACAGTGTTTAAATAATTTTGTAAACTAGACAGAACTATTGTTGACATGTATAATCCCTACCGGGATTTATATTTTATATTGTAAATGTTCACATTACCCAAAGCCATGTTTCCCACAAAGATTGACCTCAAGTCACTTCTTATCAAAATAAGACAAACAGCATCTCCACTTAGACACATTTTAAATGTTATGCAAAAATCTTTTAGCTCTCTTCTAATTAGCAGGCTCCCCAACCTAAATTACTGGGGAAATAGTTTTACTTTGTGTAATGACACATCCACTCCCAGTCTTTATTCAAGCCCAATGTAATGGTGTTCAGTTTGCAAATTAATTCCAATTCAACAGTCTCTCGTTGAAGTCTGTTTTTGAAGTTTTTTTGTTGAAGAATTGCAACTTTTAGGTCTGTAATCGAGTGTCCAGAGAGATTAAAGTCTTTCAGTGTTCTGTTTCTTGGTTCCATTTTAATGATCTGTTGGACTGTGGAATACAATTGAGCTGCATGTCAAATTGTTTAATGTTTATATCCAAGGATGGATTTGCAGATAAAGACCAATACCAAGTGCTCATAAAGACTAAGCAATAAAACTTCTTAAAGTGCATTTGTGAGGACAAAAAGAAAAGGAGTACTTGTGGCACCTTAGAGACTAACCAATTTATTTGAGCATGAGCTTTCGTGAGCTACAGCTCACTTCATCGGATGCATACCGTGGAAACTGCAGCAGACTTTATATACACACAGAGAATATGAAACAATACCTCCTCCCACCCCACTGTCCTGCTGGTAATAGCTTATCTAAAGTGATCATCAAGTTGGGCCATTTCCAGCACAAATCCAGGTTTTCTCGCCCTCCACCCCCCCACACAAATTCACTCTCCTGCTGGTGATAGCCCATCCAAAGTGACAACTCTCCACACAATGTGCATGACAATCAAGTTGGGCCATTTCCTGCACAAATCCAGGTTCTCTCACCCCCCCAACAAATTGTGAGGACAATGCCTTTGTTAAGATCGCATGTGGATTTGTGACGGAAAGGTGCTCCAGTCTGTTAGTCAACATGCGGAAATAAAACAATCTATAGGCAAAGCATTCCAAAGTGTGAGCTGAATCTTGCAAACACATCTCCACAAAAACAACTCCCATGTGGAAGTGTTTGTAGGATCAGGCCCAAAGCAGGCAGGATGAAATCCTGGCCCCACTAATGTCAACAGCAAAACTCTCATTGACTTCAAAGGGGGGAGGATTTTACCTGCAGTGTTCTTCGAAGTGCACAGTGCCCTCAGTGTGCACAGTTGCAGGATCAGGCCTTCAGTGTGCAATGTTTTTATAAGTGCAGTGCCACGAGCCTGCAACATTTGAGGAGTCTCGTGTGATATTTGATGTTTTTTCTTAAAGTCCCAGTTCCTGGACTAGAGTGATTATGTGAGAATCTCAGCTTTCATTTAAAAACACCATTAGATGTCTAGGCCCTGGGGCTGTACAGAAAAGCTTGAAAATGTGATCCAAGTACCAGAATCCAAAAGGTAAATAAAAACAAGCCCAGTTTTAAAAAATCTTATGATTTTAAAACCAATCCCGTGATTTTTTTGGGTCCCGAGACTGATGATTTTTAAACATGTGGGGTTACCAGTACTGTATGTGTGCAGTGCCCTAGGTGTGAAGTTACAGGACGATTCCTAAGCATCTAGAGTGTTGTAAGTAGTGCCAAAGATTTCAGATATAAATACAGTAGTGGTCTGTTAATCCACATAGGGCTGGAAGAACCTTTAGTATCTGTGCCGCAAAATTGCATTTAAAAAGGGGCTGTGTTAATTGTTAATTTTAATTCTGATGGAAATCTGCAATGGTTCAATACTCTGGAAAGCTAAATAAATAAACGTTGGGGAGGTCAATGAGCAGCCCCCGCTGGCCCAGCATGAACCCCACGTGCGGGACAGTTAAATAGCCACTTAATTATTTGCCTGGATCCCTTACACAGCAGCTGCCCTGCCGTAACTAAGCCCCCACTATACCTGACCCTAGCCATGCCCCCAGCCCACTCCTAGCCAGGCTCCCATCATGCCTGGCGGGCGCTAGCCAGGCTCCCATCATGCTTTACCTTAGCCAGGCTCCCAGCTGACACCTAGCTCCCATGATGCTTTGCTTTAGCCAGACTCCCATGATGCTTTGCCTTAGCCAGACTCCCATCATGCCTTGTTGCCCTATCCCAGCCCCCATCTCAGCCCCGCCCCAGCCTCTAGCCACGCCCCCCGGCCTACGCAGACCAATCCTTAGCCCAGCCCATTGCCCTTCGCTCCCCTCCCCTTAGCTTCTCGTGGGCTTACCGCGTGAAGGCCGGCGTGCTTCCGTCACGTCCGGCGTGCGGACCCGGAAGTGGGAATGGTTGAGGTGTCGCTACGCGCCGCGGCGGTGCCGGGGCTGAGCCAAGCCGGAGCGAGACCAGCGGGTAGGAGCAGGGTCGGGGCTGACGGGGTGGGCGTCGGGGGAGGAGTCGCCTCGTTTTCCTCCCCACCGGAGCATCGGGCGGGGAGGGGCTGTGGTCCGGTGGCGAGAGCAAGGGCCTGGGGGCCGGACGCCTGGGTTCTTTCCATCCCCTGGCTTGGGAAAGCAATGGGGCGAAGGGGGCTGGGACTCCTGGGTCTGTTCTCGGTTCGGTGGGGGAGGGGAGAGACTGGGAAGCCGGACTCCTGGGTTCCATCGTTTGGATGGGGACTCCTGGGTTCTGTTTTTGGCCCTCGAAGGGGAGGGGGAGAGAGAGACTGGGAGGCCGGACTCCTGGGTTCTGTTTCTGGTTCTAGAAGGGGGGGCCTGGGAGGCCGGACTCCTGGGTTCTATTCTGGGGGGGGCTGGAACTCCTGAACATCCAGTTCTAGGATGGGGTAAGCGGGTTACAGCAGGCGGGAACTAGAAGTGTGGCTTCCAGGGTTCTCTTTCTGAGTCTAGGAGGGGAGTGAGGTCCTAGGGAAATAGGGCAGGGGGGCACTGGAAGCTAGGACTGCTGGGATCTGCCCTGATTCTGCTGTGTGGCTCACTATGTGGCCAACCTGGGGCCAGTCACTTCCCTGCTCTGTGATGGAATGAGTGAAGGTTATAATTGTGGCTTGTGGAAAATGTTGGGGTTGGAAAGGTTTATATAAGAGTTTGGCGTTATTATCCTATTGCTTTGGGTCGGTCTACACTGCCAGTGAAGTCGATGTAACTTACCTCGCTCAGGGATGTGGAAAGGACACTCTTGCGGAGGTGGAGTCATTATGCTGACGGGAGAGCACTTTCCTGTCAGCATAGCACGTCTTCACCACATGTGCTACAGAGAAGCAGCTGCATTGGTGTAGTGTAGACTTGCCCTAAGCAGTAGTAATGTTCCTGAGCTGCTGTCCTTACCTTGCTAATCAAACCATACGCTGCACTGTGACCCTATAGGTTTGCACCCTGTTACTTTCCTTCAAACAAACCCTCTCTGAATACAGAATTTAAATTCTGTCATCTGGGTCAGTAAAGTCTATCTGCCTCCCGTTGCTAAAGGCCACACAGACCTTGAAATATTGATCTTTCCAGGCTTCTATAGTATTGAAGGACACCGTTTTACTGACTGCAGCACTAACAGAGGATTGGCTGTTTTTCTAACCTAACTCTCAAAATGTCTTGTAGCATCTTTGTTGTACAGCGTATCTGCTAGAATAATTAAGGCTGGCTGGTATGTCATTTTGTAAATGAGACTTTGAAAACACTCTCATATTCACGGCAATGATAGGGTTGTTGCATTTGCTATGTGGATTTTTGAGCTGAGGGAGAAAATGCGTCTGGTGATCCAGGTCTCACAATGTCTTTCAAAAAGAGTTTTTCCTTACTCCACTGAGTTTGTGAACCAGAGTGCTTTTTTAACCTGTAATCTGGATTTACAGAATTGTTGATTGAGAGGACGGTTCGAGTAAAAGTGGGCACGTGTGACTATAAATAAGAATCGTACATCCAAAATTATTTTGAAATAGTAACTTTTTACTTATTTAATAAAGGAACATTGCCAATATGAAACCTAGACAAGCTTAAAAAATATAAAGCAGAAGAAATCAAAAGTAGTTCTGGGTATTACATATGCCTGATAGTTTCCATGGCAATTTGTGGTTTCAGAATTATATTTACATGGTTTTAATGTTTCTCTCCATTGTTATTGTTTGAAGCCCACACAGACATGAAATTGACTATAGGAAAGGTGCTGTCACATGGGAAAGTAAACTGAAAAAAAGGTGTATTTTTTCTTTCCCTCAGTTGTAAATGTTGTTTTTAACAATGGTAGATAAAAATCACATATCAGAATTTTTTGTAAACTGGTAGGTTTCCTCTATTGAAATGTGTTAATGCTGGTGTGGATCAAATTCCAATTTAATTATTCAGATTTTTCCTTAAATTCTCCCTGCAGTTCCAACTTAATTCACTGTTCTTCAGCACTACCCGTCCTGAGCTTTTTATATGGTGTTGCTGTGCACTGCTACAGCTGCTGTTCCATCTCATTGGTGGCTGCATTTCAGTGGTAAGTGATCCATGCATATAATTCATACAGTATATATTTAGGGCTTCAATTTCACAGTGTGATGTGTATGGGTGTACCCATGCATCCATATGGGATCCCATCAACCAACTGTGCAGATCCTGTTTCGGTATTGGGGCCTGTGTTTGTAAAGTGCTTTGGGATTAATTGGAAAGAAATGCTTTATTTAAGAATATTAATGAAATGTAGTCTGGATTTATTGCTTTTTGTGTTTGAAATGTTGAAAATCCTCCGGAAGAATACAGTTGGAATGATTTATATTTGGGGGGCTGCCATCCCTGTTGGTGATTTACGAGAGCTAAAGATAAACTCCTCAAAATGAGCTTCTCCACCAGATATGCTGCAAGGAATATATAAAACTAATCCTAATAAGTGTTTGACTTCATTCGGGCTCCTGAATTACAGGATTGGGGCCTTACTGAGAACATCACTTTTTAATTTAACTAAAATCTGGGTTATACAGGAATAGAAGAACGATGGCTCTGGGGAGGATCCATGTGCCTTATAAATCTGGAATGTCTGGATGATACTAGAACACAAGCTACTTTGCCTGACTGCCTGCCCTGATCAGAATATCCCAACATGGGAAGGTGAGACACTCAAACTAATCCTCAATATCAAACAGCTAGAGTTGCAGGATGGTGAATACAGGGCTGCAATCCTAGAAATCTTGAACTCCAATCCCAGCTCTGAGGTTTGAGTGCCTCTAAATCTGGGCATCCACTCAATCTCTTTTTTCCCATAGTTCTATAATGGGGACAATACCACCCACCTCACAGGGACATTGAGGATTAGTTGGTTAGTTATTTGGAAATTGTTCTGAAAATGAAAAGTGACGAATCTTGGATCACATTTCTGCTGAACATGATAATGCAAAGCTAAGAATAAATGCAGAATAGAGGTGTTAGAATTATAAAGCACTTTCACTGTAACACCATCCTCCAGAGCACAACAGATTGAGTGCCATGAAACAATGGTATTAAAGGAAAGTAAGTACAGTGGCATTTAATATAGCTCCATTAAAATGCAAATTAAGCTAGATCATATTGCCTTTATATAAATCTATGATACGCTCACATCTTGAATACTGTGTGCGGATGTGGTTGCCCCATCTCAAAAAAGCTTTATTGGAGTTGGAATAGGGCAAACGGCTGCCATATGAGGAGAGATTAATAAGACTGGGATTTTTCAGCTTGGAAAAAAGACAACGAAGGGGAGATATGATAGAGGTCTATAAAATCATGACTGGTGTGGAGAAAGTAAATATGGAAGCGTTATTTACTCCTTCTCATAACACAAGAACTAGGGGTCACCAAAATGCATTAATAGGCAGCAGGTTTAAAACAAACAAAAGGAAGTATTTTTTCACACAATGCACGGTCAACGTGTGGAACTGCTTGCCAGAGGCTGTTGTGAAGGCCAAGACTATAACAGGGTTCAAAAAAGAACTAGGTACGTTCATGGAGGATAGATCCATCAATGGCTATTAGCCAGGATGGGCAGGAATGGTGTCCCTAGCCTCTTTGTTTGCCAGAAGCTGGGAACAGGCAACGGGATGGATCGCTTGATGATTACCTGTTCTGTTCGTTCCCTCTGGGGCACCTGGCATTGGCCACTGTTGGAAAAGAGGACACTGGGCTAGATGGACCTTTGGTCTGACAAAGTATGGCCGTTCTTATCAGAAAGGGTTTTAACAGTTGTATACTCAAAGCTCATTCTGAGATGTTTGTGCTAATGAGCCTTATGAAAGAAGCTTTTGTTGTGCAGCTTTTAAAACTTGTTGTGCATGGATTCTGAAGCAGAAATTAAGAGTTTAAAGTTTGTGGTGTGGAATAGAATGCTGCATGTGTCAAACACTTGCCTAAGCTCACGTACTGTCATAGTGCTGAAGTATTTGGGTTTCCAGCTTGTTTGCATTTTACAAAGGCAAAACCTCTGTTAACGCTGGATGTCATTGAAACATAAGCAAAACCTGAGTAGGAGGCCTATGCAACGTTAAGATTTTGGTAGTTAAAGATCTGTTTGACTGAAATTGTAGGATGCATGTTCCGACAGAAAGGTGTTTGTTGGCTGTTAAACTTGTGATGATGATTCTTCGAGCATTCAGGGTGTAATCTTGATCCCACTGAGTTCAGTGTAATTTTATTAGGAACAGGAGCAGGTCCTTTGTATGTACCTTTAAAGTTGGAAGTTCATTTAAGTATTTGTTCAAATTCTTAGCCAGTTTTGGGAAGGCTTAGCTCCCTGCCTTTAGGATGCATTTCAAACAGTCTGTCTCCTTTATGAATTTCAGGATCAGCATCTCCTGTTTGTTTCCTGCTTCCTGGCACTTCAGCATCTCCCCAGTGGGGTGTCCTCGTATACTGAACACCACTTTGCGACAAATTATTGTCATTGGTATACTTGCTGCTGCCGGCTCCTTGCTTTATTATTCCCTTGTCATCCGGAATAAATATGGGCGTTTGTACAGGGATAAAAAGTTTCACAGGTGAGGACTAATATAATGTTCAGGACAGGAAATGAACATAACTCAGGTGTTCCATGTTGATCACTTCAAACAGTTGAACCAGCGAGTAGCGATTGGGTCTCCTGATGTGTACGAAGCAGCATGGAAAAATAAATTGACTGAAAGCCTTTTATGTAAGAT